CTGTTTTCATTAGAATTAAAAACAATACCAGAATGTTTATATTGGGTTGCACTTAATGTAACCATATCTTGTGCATTTCCAAAAAAAAAAAAACAAGAAATTACGACTCACAGTTTATCAAGAACAAGAAAACAAAGATGTAGCATTATACAACCCAGGGTTCAATACTTCTGTGGATTACTGTAAATGACCACACTCATTCTTTAAACTTATATATATAAAAACACATTTCAATTTATTTTACGGAAATGTTCGTAACTCGTAACTGCCAGGACTGCTTCGTGATTGTTAGGAACCGTTTTATGTGACTTGATTTTAAAATTCGAAAAATTAAAAGACTATTACTTTTTAGTTATGTAAAATTATCAATGATCCTATCGCATACTTAAAACAACGTGAAAAATGCCTCAAGTGTTTATCTGTAACGGTGTATTAAAGTAAAGTGACTGGCCATTTTACTAGGACTCCCATATAATCATTTATAGAACACTCCATCTATATGCTCTATAAATGCAGAAGACCTCTTTGATTTCGCTAAGAACATGATAATGGATGTCTGTCTAGAAGAAACGTCATTATAAAATTCCGTTACTTTAACCGTCTGCTCAAAAAGGCATTTGTTGGCAAGGTCTAACAAGTATGGTAATTTAAATAGAATTAACTTTACACTAAGAAAAAAGCAATGGCCGCCAATCGCTGGAGACAGATAGAGGTAAGAGATGATCAGTTGGACTTGTAAATGCAACAAACGTCAGGTTGTGGTGCAATTGATTCACTCTTTCAACAATGGTAAGGAGAATGGCCCGGCATGGCCAGGTGGTTAGGGCGCTCGACTCGCAAATTTGCCAGTCGTGGGTTCGAATCCACGTTCAACCAAACATGCTCGCCCTTTTAGCCGTGGGGCGTTATAATGTGACAGTCAATCCCACTATTCGTTGGTAAAAGAGTAGCCCAAGAGTTGGCGGTAGGTGGTGATGACTAGCTGCCTTCCCTCTAGTCTCACACTGCTAAATTAGGGACGGCTAGTGCAGATATCCCTCGTGTAACTTTGCGCGAAATTCATAACAAACAATGGTAAAGAGAATTAAAAATACAAACAGGATAGCATAGCCTCAGCGATGCTCGGAGAACAACTGTCAGCAATAAATAACTGTAAGCGTGTGATAAAGCCTGGTAAGTTTTTTTTTTATACATTGTATAAAAATGTGGATAAACACACAAGAGGCACTCCACCTTGTGTTATTTCGACAATACAAGCTGCAGAAGGTAACGTGGTGGTGTGGAGAACTTTTACGTGGCAGGAGTTCAGCCCTTTGATCGTTTGAGATCAGCGAATAAAATCTAGTAAAACTAAACATAGATGAAAATCATGTCCAACCCACAATTCTGCATTTTCACCATGATGCACAATGACTTCTACAAGACGATAATGACAAACTTTACCTCGCTAATACTGTCCAAAATTGGTTTGGAGAGCATTAGCCTGATTTCATCCACCATCCTTGGCCAAAGAAATCGTCGGATCTTAATACCATTTAACATCTTTTCCTAAAGAACACCCTTTGCTTATTATTTACACCCTCCACGTTTCGGCGGGTTACAATCAAATATCACCACTTGAAACATCTTGTGTACTCACTGCCATAATGTGTCCTGGTTATTGTTGCAGTGAAAGTAGTACAAACAAAACATTAAGTTAGAGCCTTAATAAAGTTGACTATCAGGGTATTTAGAACAAAAAACATCTCAAGTATGAATAATAAATGATATTCAAATTTCTGCAAAACAATACAAAATACGTGTATCAGTTCTGTTATCAGTAACAGAAACTGAAATATATTTAGAACATTTAAAAATGTTATGTATCAGAGTTATGTGTTTAATACGCGTATAATTATACATACACAGACAACAATTTGTGTATCAGTTTTATTATTAATAGCGGGTATTAAAATACATATTCGAATAACGTGAACTGAATATATATATATATATCAATAACATCATGTGTATCAGTGTTATAATAACATTGATAATAGACTTTGGACAAATAACACGTGTATCAGTGTAATCAGTTATGGGTATTGAGATTTATTGAATATTTATTTGTTTGTTTAGAATATTCGCTCAAAGCTACAAATGACTATGCTTTAGCCGTCCCTTATTTTGTACTGATAAATAGAGAAAAACCAATAGTGAATGATCTTTTTTTTTGTTTGCTTGTGGTAATGGGACACGAACCATGGACCCTCTGATCCACAATCCGGCACGCTAACCACTTTTATGAAATAAACTCGTATATCATTTTTATTATTAATAACGGGTGTAGACATATTTAGAACAAATCAGACGTGAACAACTTTGGAACAGAAACTCTCACTTTTAGATTTATTTGAGTTGATAAACATCGTGTGAAAGACCCTTTACGACTAACCCGTTATTGATTAAAATTATTTCACGTAAGGTCGTAAACACAGATCTTCTTTATTTGTTCATTAATTTATTCTTTGTTTGCTTGAAATGAAATTTATATTTTAACCCTCAACATGGAATAACAAGAAATACTAACTGATTTGATTTAATATTGTTGCAACAGTTTTTGTCATTGACCCACTTGGTTGTTTTTAATTATTCAGTAAAAATAATGCAAAGTCCACTTAACGAATAGGAACGTGTTTTATTTATTCTACCACAAGTTTTACAAAATACCCGAGCAATAGCCCTAACTTACAAATCAAACTAAACAGTTATACATTTTTTTTATTTCCTCTGATATGTGCGGCAAAAACTCAAAAGTTTGCTAACTAACAGACTAACTAACTAATTAACACACTGATTAACTCTCTGCCCCCCAATGGCATAGCGGTATGTCTGCGGACTTACAACGCTAGAAACCGGGTTTCGATACCCGTGGTGGGCAGAGCACAGATAGCCCGTTGTGTAACTTTGTGCTTAATTACAAACAAACAAACGAACAAGACTAACTCTCGAATCAACAACAACGATTTAGGGTTTTTTATATTATTACAATATCCCCCTTTCCAAGTTTAGAAAATTCGAGATGTCACATGCACATCACGCCAAATCTTAGGATATTTCTAGGCGTCACACATCATCACTACGTCATGCCAAAACTCCCTCTAGTAAACAATGCAAAACGTCTAAATTAAAATGTTAAAACATAGTTCTCAACCATATTATAAACATATAGACCATTTATTACTTAACGTTCTTCTAGTGTTATCAACTTTTTGAACATGATATCATCAATTGGAAATGGCAATTCCAGGTTTATGATTGAAAAACAAATTTTTAATTGTAATACGCATATTTTTTGTTTTTTAGATTCATGCGTGAAATCTATTTTAGATAAATAAGCATGATATATGCGCCTAACAAACATTTTATGATTCCGGTGTTTCTGTCAAAACCTTACGAACTTGATGATCCCCTTTAATAATTAAATTAGTATACGGTGCACATTTACTCTGATTGAAAATCAATTAAAAGAACCCATACACT